AATTTTTTGATCATATTCTTTGAGTCGGATATAGACGCTTGCTGTAATTCTGATGCACATCAGTGTACACTTAACCTGTTCGGTTCATTGCTTTTTTTTTGCAGGATCCACGGGACTACGTCTGAAAGATTGTCTGGATTATTATCGGACAAATATAGCACCAGCGCAAAAAACTTCACTTATACATCCAGGAGGAAGCGTGCCACGCGTATTTTATGGGAACGAAATGCAGAATGGGCGAAATCTTCCATCGCCACCATCGAATCTTTCATGCAACCCCGAAATGCCTGGCCATTTGGGTTTGCTGCACGGAACTATGCCTAATCAGCCTATTTCCGCCCCATCGTCAAGCATGTTCAATCAGCCCTGTGGAGTTTCCGCTTCCGCAGCACCAGTAGCTCCCCAATTAACGCAGGGGGTGAATTATGCTACGTTTGGACGCGCAGGATGCAGCCCAATGCATCCGGATCCTTTGAGTTTTTCCGGCCAACAGCACCAGCTTCAGCCCGGAATTCCATTACCGGTTAATCGTCAGTCCCTGGAAATCGCACCTAGTCAGTTTAATTCCGTGCCGCAGTTGCCCAGCATTTCTCCACATCCACCACCAATTAGTGGTACCACTCCTGGAGTTATGTCCACTCTTTCACAGCCAAATTTTTCGCAAAATTCGCTCTACTCCGGAACTCCCCAAAATTTTTTGGCTGCACCTTCCGCACATCCAGCAGCAGCAACAACCACAGTCGGAGCATTTCAACCATCGCTTCTAGAAGCGCAACAACTTCCCACTGCCTCACAGTTCACATTTGCTACAAAGCAACAAGGGCAAATTGGGCAACAACAGCAACAGCCTGGAGTAGTTTCTCCCTCGATGAGTACCACCTCTGCTCCGATTCCCGCTCTGCCTCAGCAACAGCAGCAGCTATCTTACAACACCTCCCCGTTCGCGCCTGTCAAAATACATTCTGATAATGCTGCCAGTGCCTTCTTGACATCAGCTTCGTCTCCGGTTTTGGCACAACCGACGATCCTACCACCACGCATCATTTTTGTGAGTTTGTATTTTTTTTGAAAAAATTCGCGTTGCATACTAAAAATTCCGGAAATTTTTTCGTAGCTTCTTATTTCTGCATTTCCAACACTCCCCCTCGAATTGTGGGTTTCGCTCGAGTCGTTGCTGTCTTCTGTAACCGTCTGCCAACACAGTTTGTGGGAAATACCTCCTAATCGTGGGAATAGCGGGAAATTTTTGATATGTAAATCTTCGGCGGCTTAGCATCCTGCACTGAATTGGTCATTTCCCTCTGGCTACTCGGAGCAGTTTTGTATAATACTGGTACTTTCATGTGTTTTAATTTGACCGTGGTTTGCAATCCAAAAAAGGGTGATACTTTGGTAGGAAATGTAATTTTTGCACAGG